CGGTATGCAGTGTGCATGCCCTAGTCAATGGCTGTCAGGAGGATAGTGGTTATTCAGTGAAATACTTTAAACTATGAGCATGGACTACTACTTGAATTTCCTTATACACAGTTTGGCTGTTTTTACATCAGCTGAAGCTAACATGGTACTTTGGAGGTAAAGAACTCTTAAGTCCTGTCTTTCTGGAATTTCATAACATTTCATCATATCCAAAAAGCAAAAGAAATAGGTATAAACAAACAGCTCTGATTTTTGTTTTGCCGAAGGCATATCCCTAGAGCTGGAAAGGATAGTGTAGTTCAGTGGAAAGAAAGCTGGACTTAGAGTCCAGAGAGAACTGAGTTCAAATCCAACCCCTGAGACTTGCAAGCTGTGTGGTAATGGTCAGATCACTTAACCACTCTGAGCTTTAGTTAGTCCTCATCTGTAAAGTGGGTGGTAATAGCAATTTCCTCACAGGATCAAATGACGTGATGTACATGAAACATGTTGCAAAACTAAGCAGGCCATAGAGTGTCACAAAAGTCTTTGTGCAGTTTTAATATATTGAAGTTTAAAACTGAACTAAGATTTTTGGAAGACCCTGTGTAACCATGAAATATTGTTATTTATCTAGTCTAATATTCCCTCAATTTATAGACAAATGAACTCAAGTCAACAGAGTTGAGTTCACTTTTCTAAGATCATCTAGCCAATGATTAATAGATGATATTACTGTTCTAAAGAAGGTATTGTACATAAAGGGTCTGAGGACCAGGTTCTGGGAGCATGAACATGCCCTGCCAGGTTCCAGTCCAGGTGGAGGCTTAGTGAGTCTGCTTCTGGGAATACATAATGGATGGGTTCTTCCTACCCCAAACCCCACTTCAGAGTATGCACAGGTGTCCTTCATTTCCTTTTGGCTCACTGAGAGATGAAAAGTCTTTTAATTGTCTGCTGAGGTAACTGGGTGTGCATATTAAAGGTTCTAGCTGATAAATCTCTCACTGTCTTCACCTTAGCTATAGCAACTGAGTCCAGTGAAGAATCCAATGAGGAGACTGTTGAAGCAGCAAACAGTGCTCCTTGACCCAGTGCAGCAAGGAGTCATCCCTCAGCAGGGAGTGACTTGTCCATTGGCTACAGTCTACACCATCCCCAGAAATGAACTTGGTGGGGAATCTCAGTTGTTTTTCAGTCATGTCATGACCCCATTTGGGGTTTTATTGGAAAAGATACTGGAGTGGTTGGTCATTTACTTCTCCAGATCATTTTACAGAGGAGGAAACTAAGGCAAACAGGGTTGAGTGATTTGCCCAGGGTCACACAGCTAGTAAGCGTCTGAGGCCAAATTTGAACTCAGGTCTTCCTGACTCCAGGCCCAGCATTCTATCTATTGTGCCATCTACCTGCCATCTAAGCTTGGAGCATCCTGCCTTTTTAAGGGATAGTGACTAGGGAAGCTAGTGTCTTTTTGTTCTGAACCAAATGTGCCCCTAGCCAGCAATATTTAGGGGAGGCAAATAGATACAATTCTATTTCCATACCCCTTTCTTAGAGACCAGAGAACAAACTGTCTCATGGGAGGGGTGTGCCTCATGGCTCCTTCTCCTCTTCCCTTCAAGACAGTATTCAAAGTCTCTAGTGGAGAGGGCTGGCCCAGACCTTTGATTATAGCTATTGATGCTTCTCATTGTGCCATCTGTCTGCACATGCAGACATCTCATGTGGACATACACATTTTACATGGACAACACACACCTTACATTTAAGTTTGCATTTCTGTAAGTTGCTAGGCAATATGGAACTTCCCCAGCAATGGATGGAATCAAAGAAGGTCTAATCCTTTTACTTTCCAGATGAACAAACTGATAACTTAACTTACTCATGGTCACACAGACTAGTAAGTGGCAGTCAGGATTTGAACCCACAACCTCTGATTCCAAACCCACCCCTCTTTCCTCTTGTAGGTGCTTATATGTAAATAGTTGTTGGAATTGTTTGTTGTTAAAAATGAAACTCGAACAATGACTGGAGAAAGGAAGAAAGTACTTATTAAGCATCTACTACGTGCCAGGCACTGTGCTAAATGCTTTACAAATATTATCTAATTTGAACCTCACAACAGCCCTATGAGGTTAATATCCTCATTTTATAGTTGAGGAAACTGAGGCAAAGAAAGGGTAAGTGACTTGTCCAAGGTCACATAGCTAGCATGTGAGACAAGATTTGAACTCAGTTCTTGCTGACTCTAGACCCATCTCTCTATCCTTTGCGCCACTTAATTTTACTATGATAGAGCAATTTGTTGATTTGAATGAAGAGGATGATGATGATGACGAACCTGCTGAGGATAAGGAGTGGGATATGAGGCTGAAGGGGGCAGCATAGGAAGAGAGTAAACACAGAGAGAGAGAGAAAGAAAGAGAGAGAGAGAAGATAGTACTTCAACTCAGCAGAGCTTTTCAGGAAAAGGAAGGAACTTTAGAAACCTCTGAGTCAATCCACTCATTTAATAGAGGAGGAAACTGAGGCCCAGAGAAGTTACATTATAACTTGCCCAAGGTTACACAAAGAGTTCAGAGTAAAGGAACTATAATTCAAAATTTTTCTCATTTGCACTTCAGCTTTTACTATGTGTCTGTGAAAGCTGCTTATAGTAATAATGTTTTGAAGTCAGTACTTTATGATACTTCTCTAGTTAGTACCATGAATATACCCAGCTATTTCTCATGTGCTCTAATCAGCAATGTAAGTTGAAGTCTGAAAATTAGCCTCCCAAAGAAGACACTTAAAAGCACAGATTGTGGTTGCAATTTTACAAGGATTTAATGCAAATTTCACCCTTTTCATCTGTTTAGCAGATCTAGACACAAAACAGCTTGTGTCCTGGAAGAAAACAAGGAGTGAGTACATTTTAATTTCACTTTATTTAAAATTGTAGGAGCCTGAAAAATATTTGTTATTATTCCTTACCACCTGATTTGCATTTTGAAGCTCCATATACTTTGTTCTGCAGGCACTGCCCAATGATTAGAGAGGCTAATAAAGAAAAACAGCTGTTACAACTCTGAATTTGGCTTGTTTGGGTTATGATTTGAGGATGTTATTTGCACAGAAGAATCTGAATGAAACTCTAGGGACAGGAGAAAACTGGAGAAAGGAAAAATGAACTATAACTGACATACTTAGATACTTCTAAAGACTGTATCATATTTTTAAAATGACAATTTCATTCAGAAAAATGAAACTGAAAATAAAAAATAAGATTTTACTTACTAATTAGAGCCTCACCAGTTCCTTGTTAGTCTGTTTCTAGGCATAGCATCCAGTTCCAAACTCTTCCTTTGTCATTCTGGAATTACTATGGTTTTATCCTTTGGGAAGGAGCTTGTGTTTAGACTAAGAAGAGGGAGTGTTGCCCAGTGGCAAGAAGACTTATTCTGATCTCAGAGGACCTCTGTTCAAATCCCACCTCTGATAATTTACTCTATGATCTTGGGCAGATCATTTAACCTTATTAGGCCAAATTTCCTTGGCTGTAAAATGGTGTTTTGGGAACATCAATGTTGATAACCTCAATATGAGGGAAAGAATTGGGGGTAGAGAGGGAGACTTGTGAGCCAAGCATTGAATGTACTGAGAATGAGGGGTCCACTGGACTCAATACTCAAAAGCAGTACAACAAATAACTTATTTTCACACCACATAACATTAAGAATTTTAACCCCAGTTTACCTTTGAAGAATATTTAACAGTTCAAAATTAATCAGTACTTGGAGAGGGCTTTATTATTTCCTTTAAAAAGGAAGAAACTTATATTTGGTGAAACCCTTATTTTCTACTTACCCAGAGTGGGTTGTTTCTGCCTAATTCCAGGCAATTTCCAATTTTGTTAGGCTATCATTCACTTTAGCTATACATTTCAAATCAGTTCAGTCATTTATTCATTATAGCTTCTGTGTTCTCTTATCCTTAGAAGACAATCAGAAAAATAAAAAATACATATATAAAATGAACCCCAGGCATGCCCTCAAAAAGCTTACACGTTACTCAGATTGCAAGAAACTTGGTCGACAGCATTTTAAATTATTTTTTATTTTTTACAGCCAAGGTTTAAATTAGTTCTGCTATTAGGTCCTGTTTCAGTGTTAAGTAGATTCAGTTTTTTATCTCCAAGCCCAGTCACCTCATCTCTTAGGCACAAAAATCTCATTACAATTAGCCAGACGATTCATGGGGTTGTTTTCTTCGTTGCTTTTACCTCATTTCCACCAGATTTACTCCTTAGTGCCTAAGCTACTTGATTGATCTTCAGGGAGCCACTCCACTTGGTAAATCAAGGAAAAACCTGGAGGTGACTGTCTGGACCATTTACTTACCAAAAATCCCCCAAACCTGAACCTGAAAGTCCACGTGTTTTGTGACCCATTAATTGAATGGTACCATATTTTTATGGGGGGGGTGTTGCCTAATCATTTAGTTCTCTAATTTTGATGGTGCTGGGGTTCTTATTCTGTGAATTTAAGCATTTTTTGATAACTATATTTCAAAAGAATAGGTTGCCTTTGCAATCCCTATGTATTTTATTTTATGTACTTAAAAATATTATTCTGTAATGGGCTCCCTAAGGTTCCCGAGACTGCCAAAAGGGTCTGGGACATCAAAAAAAAAAGTTAAGAACACCAGATTTAGGGTATGAGCATATTCAAAGTGTTAGCAGCAGCCCCGCCCTGAAAACATAGGTCACACCCTTCTGGACAGAAGTCTCAGGAGCCTGCATGCCGGCAGTGGGAGAAGATGGAAGGCTCTCTGCGACTGCGCATGCGTAAAGACAAAGGCTCGCGGATCGCACGCACTCCAGCAACCCTGGAGAAGTGTCGATCTGGGAAAACGTCTCAAACAAGAACCCAGCCTACTGGAGAACGGGAGGGGGCGGGGAGGGGGGGGAGGAGAGGAACTGCGCGCGCCGCAGAGCTTGGGGCGGAGACGTTTCCTTCCTCTCGGAGGTTGGCAGGGAAGTGGCCAGTCGTCACTTCCGGCTTCCTCTCTGGTTGCCATCTTGCTTACCCGCGTGTGTTCCCCTGTCTTTGGGTCTTCTACCTGCAACCCCTCGAGTAACAGCCCCGCTCATCTGCGTAGCTCAGTTTCCGTTCCGGCAAGGTACAAAACGGTGTGGGGCCAGGGTCTGGACGGACAGCGGCCCCCGGGGAGATCTCCCGGAAGCGAGGGCTGAGGCCGAGCGGGGAGGGAGGAAGTAAAGAAGGGAGCTGGGAAGTCGGGCAGGCCGAGCGACGGAGCGGGGCGAGGTCCCTCTGCGCAGCCGGACCATGTTCTCCCATCCCGCGGCTCAGGGCACGGCAGGAGGAGACCTGGAGCCGCAGGTGACGCGCGGGCTCCCTCCTGCGGCCTGCCGGGCTCGGGCCTCAGGGAACCCCCGGGGGGCATGGCTGCGGCTCCGAGGCAGCGCAGGGCTCGAGGGAAGGCGAGGTCGGCGGCCGGCCGGGACGAGGGCTCAGGTCCGAGAGAGCCCCGGGCCTTCGGGAGGGGCAGCAAGGCCTGGCCGGCTGGGGGGGAGGGGCGGCTGGAGCGAGGTGCCTTGAAGGACGAACTGAGCGGGTGGGAGGCCGCAGCTCACGTCTTTTTCTGCTTTTACAGATGAAAGAAACGATTATGAACCAAGAGAAACTTGCCAAGCTGCAGGCACAAGTGCGCATTGGTGGGAAAGTAAGTTTTTTCAACTTTTCTCCATAAAGTCAAGGCTTTAATAGTGCTTTTTCACTCCTTAATGAACTTTTTGCTTGTGATTTTTTTTTTAACGTTCTTATGGGACATTGCCGAGTACAAATCTAAATCTGGTAGCTGGGGAGCATCACGTTTTTAAGCCTTCCTTTAGTCACTCCCCGGTTGGTCAGGAACACAGTGCCTGGGACATAATCAATAGGCCCTTAATAAATGCTTGTTTATTGATGGAACCATAGTCAAGGTGTTCACAAAGCACTTTATTTGAGAACTCTAAAATACCTAAAGTGGTGTTAAGAGCTTTTCCCTCCACCCGTAAACTTTGAGTTTCCTTCCTCACATAGTACACATTTGGGTACTTAATAAATGTTTGTCGAAGATCAGGAGAGGGAGGGATATGCCAGTTGAGATGTGGCAGGTGTGTATGTTTGAGAAGCAGCAAAGGTAATTGATTAGGAAAATAGAAGGCTGGCATTCTGGAAGAGAAAAAAAACACAAACTACTGTTTAGGAAGGTTAAACTTTGATATTTTAATTGAAATACCTAGATAATCTTAAATTTTCTAAAGATCACTTGTAATGAAAATTTTAATTTTGGCTAATTTAATTCTGTGATCTGATTGTAGGTATTTCTTGCTGTAAACCTAGTAACCATTCCTGTCAACCCTAGACTACTCTTGTCATCCATTAAGTTGCCAGTTGGGGCTCGTTTTACACTTTTCTCTTGACACTTTGAGAAATCAAAGAAACACACCGACTACATTAATTTGATATAGTAGCAGGGAGCCTCTGCCTCTTTTATTTATTTATTAATTCATTTATTTTTAAAGGCATTTGGGATTAAGTGACTTGCTCAGGGTCACACAGCTAGTAAGCGTCTCAGGTGTTTGGTCTGAGGCTGGATTTGAACTCAGGTCCTCTTGACTTCAGGGCCAGTGATCTATCCGCTGTGCCACCTAGCTGGCCCCCTCTGCCTCCTTTTAAACTGTTACATTATTTTGGACATCTAGGACTTAGTGGATCAAGAACTTGAAGGCAGGAAGGAACTAGATTCAGGTCTTACTTCTGACCTGTACAGACTTTGTGACCTTGGCAAATGACTTTAAGATTCTAAATTACTGAACAGTTGTTAATCTGTATAATTAATAGCAATACCCTACACTAGTAAGGTCCAGACAGAAATCCACATCTCTCTGTGTATTGTATATGTGTAAAACCAGAAATAAGGGTTCACAAGTGAACTTTTTAAAGGTTGACGGGTTTTGTTCTCATGCTCTAGTCATAGTTCCCAAAGTAAGAATTGTAGTAATAGCGACATTTGTACATTTTTAAGAAGAGATTTTTAAGTATAACTGATTTTTTGCTGTTGAATTTGATCAAGAGTAATTGCTTTTTTCTTAGATATTTTATTCTGCATCTTTTCATACAGGCATATTGTGGAACTTATAACTATGCCTGAAAGAATGTCTTCCTACTGTTTTGACCTTTATCCTTGGAAAATTTAAGGGAAGAGAAGTGAGGGTTGTTTTAAACATTAAATTTCAGGACCAAAAACTAGAGGGGAAGTTTTAAAATGGCTGGCTGCTTGTTTCCTGCTGACAGTGGATGATTATGCTTTTTTACTTTTGAAATTAAATTGAAGACTTTCTTATATCACAAGTTCACTGGACAGAAATCTATCCACTGTTAATGACATATTAGTGCTTAGTGACATTGTTGCCAATAGAATAGCATATGTTCTTACATGGTATGACTTTCCAGGTTTTTGTGCTATAGACTCTTTAAAATTGTCGGAGATACAGATAGTCCATTGGTGTTAAGACATAGTTCAGAATTGTACTGAGTCTTAAGCAATGAGTAGCTTGCTGGACCTTGAGTTCAGTGGTTTGATCTTGATCCTTGCATGCTGAAACTTGTATTCTCTAAGGTTGACACCTACATATTAAACATTGGTTGTATTTTGCACTTTTAGCAATTATTATAAGCTAGGTGTGGCTTCTCAGTCTCTGGGAAAATTTTGGTCAGATTTTTTTTAATGGGACAGAGTTTGGGTGTGCTTATACTATAATTTTTTTTAATGTTTTCAGGAGTAAATCCCTTTTGTACCTTTTGATGGATAAAACTTTAACTTTGTGGGGAGATATAATGAGGAAGGTGAAGGGTTTTCAAAATTGTGGTTTACTGGGGGTAATTGACATAAGATGTAGTCTCGATGATGTGGTTTTTTTAAATGAACGTACTCAATAAATATGGAAAGGTGAATTTCCAGACTTTTAGAATGGTATTGACCTTTTATTGTAGGGGAAGGTGAAGTGTTAACAGTAGCCAATTTTTTTGTGTTTGAAAGAACTTAAAGACTTGTGCCAGTTCTTTTCCAAAAACATCATAAAACCTAACATTTTTAGTCAGTTTAGTGATATTAGAGTTCAATTTTTTTTAATTGACTAGTGAAGCTTTATGTCAGGAGTTGTATAATGCATGTGAAAACATCACTTTTGCTCTAAAGACTACATTCTTTATGTTCCGTTTTGGAAAGGACGTCTATTTAAATGGTATTGTTGGAAATTGTTCACTTAACATTTGTATCCACTGCCAAGTTGAATCTGGGTTGAAATTTTGAGCACTAGACTACCTGGCTATTTTAAGGGCTATCTCTGAAGTTTTAGTGCCCTAGCATAAAATAGGCATTAGATAATAGTTATGCGTATGCCACCCAAGTCTTTATGACAAAAGTTTTCCACTTTGTGGTGGGATTCCCTGCCCAGCCCCTGAACATTTTTAATTATCTAAAAAATCTTTCCAGAGTCAGGAAATAACCTTGCCCAGGGTGAGCCTGTCTTTCCTTCTGTTATCTGTTGCCGCTGACCACAGATGTTCCCGCATCTGAATTTTTTTTTAATTTGTGGAAGATTTAGTCATATACTGGACCCTAGTAAAAAGGTGAAGCAAGGAATTGGGGTAACCATACCTCTTCACCATAATATCCTGGTTTAATTAGAGTAATATTTGGTGTTTAAAAATGGTTGAATGTCTTTGGAAGGATAAAATGGAGATTTTTAATACTTGTCTGTTTTCACTTATTCATTGTATTTGTTAACAAGTTTCTTTTGCATTGCCATTAGTTGTGAATATCCTTTCAGCTTAAAAGAGTACTTTCAAAAGATCATTTTCCTATAATTAAACTTTTAGAATCAGGTGACCTGTGCACAGAGGTGTTAGATATTAGATATTTGGAACATTGCTATCTCTTATTAAATCATCAAAACCTATTCATTCAAAATGAACAGATGAAAACAAAAATTCAGACACGTAGACTATAGTTATCATTTGTTCTCTGCTGGTGGTCAGAACAGTGCTGGTTAATAGAATAAATATTCTCTCCTTTTTGAAAGTTTTTCCAAATGTGTCTTTTGCTCCTGTGTTTGTCCTTATTGGCGATAAATTAATCAGGTTGATTATTTCATGTAAGTCTCCTTGATTGTTAAAACCAAATTAATACAGTCAATTTCTACCTCTCCTTTATCAGTATTACCCTCTAACCCCACCTTAGCACACTGATATTTTGTCATGATTATTTTTGTTGGTAAGGGTCCAAAGAAAAATCAGAAGGGAAAAGGACTTCATTTGAAGATGGCTTTCATGATACCTTATCTTTTTTCATCCTTGTAGGGAACTGCTCGGAGAAAGAAGAAGGTGGTTCATAGAACAGCTACAGCAGATGATAAGAAACTTCAGTTTTCCTTAAAGAAGCTAGGAGTAAACAATATCTCTGGTATTGAAGAGGTAATTTTACTAAATTTTGGCCTATTTTTTTTCCTTTAAAAAGATAAATTAAAGAGAACACAGATATAGTTCATTGTGAATTCTTTCTGTTTTACTTCAGGAATGTGGGTTTGGCCAGCTGTATAGAGTAATGGTTTTTACCCCTAAAATGGGGCACAAGGGAGAATAATTGCTCTACTTGGAATATAGTCTCTTTAGGAGATATTTAATGCAGAATTGAGATATTAATGTATTAGTATGCTGATATTGACATAGCTTTTTCTGTCCTTCTAATTCTAGTCAGTAATTTTTGACCCATTATGAATAAGTGCTATATTAAGATTTAAATATTTTTCTTTCCAAATGTGGGAAAATATGGAAATTGCTGAAGAATAATTAAAGAAAAGCAATCCTAGATACATATCCATCTTCATGGTTCAAGAACTGCCTTTTTGCTTACAAGTTTTATACTCTCTCAAAAACTTTGTAGTATAGAAAACTATAATCCATGACTTACTGTTGTAGTAATTATTAGCTATGAAGTAAAATAGTGAGCACTCCTTTCCTTTTTATGTATTTTCATGTCTTGAAATTGGGGGGAGATGAAAATCAAGACGAGTGTTAAGAGTGCCTAAATTTAATTACTTTTCATCTTTTCTGTTTGCAAAATAGCTAGAAGTAAGCTGAAACTCCATCCCAGTGACTGGTAGGCTTCTAGTTGGGTTTAGTCTAATTGCAACAACTTATCCTTGGTGTTCAAGCTTGGTGTAAGTTTATAGTTACAAAGTGTCTTACATCATCTTGCTTCCCATCTGTAAGTCCCCTTATGTTCTGACCTCACCCTTTCCCTTTTTTCCTCCCAGATGTCACTTGAACTGTCTTTATTGGGGTAGCATAAGACCTCCATCTCCCCACCTAACAGATTTTTATGTATAGAACTCTAGAGGGGGAAAAAAACTGTTGGCAGCAGTTTTATTCCTACAGATTATGATAGGCATGTCCACCTGAAGTAATTGGTTACTTGAATATGTGATAGGCAAAACTCTTGGTAGGGAGAGGAGTTTGTTTCATAGGAAATGGTCTAATAAGCCAGGTGATTTTTAGAACCAAATTGATTTGTTCATATCAGTGTGATTTGGTTATAATGTATTGGTTGTGTTATAAAACATCGATGATTAGGGTATAGAAAAAAACTTGTCAAATGCAAGGTGGTGGCTGCTGAGTTTGTTTTCTGATTAAAGCTTAACAAGGACATTCCATATGTTAGCTCACCTATTTTAAGAGATAGTCATACTTAAGCTTAGGAGTTTTGTTTTGTTGTAGAAATCTTTTAAATTAGGCATTTCTAACTTTTTTTCCCTAATTTTTTTTTAAACAGGTGAATATGTTTACCAACCAGGGAACAGTGATCCACTTTAACAATCCTAAAGTTAAGCATCATTGGCAGCAAACACTTTCACTATTACAGGCCATGCTGAGACAAAGCAGCTAACAGAAATGCTCCCCAGCATCTTAAATCAGCTAGGAGCTGACAGTCTGACTAGCTTAAGAAGACTGGCAGAGGCTTTGCCCAAACAACGTAAGTTACAATTATGTTGGAAATGTGAGTGTGGTAATTTAGTTATAGACCTTTTTTTTTTTTAATCTCCCAAAGCAATATAAATGTGCCTTAACTTCAAGGCAAGGACCTCTTCTTTAAAAATTGGTTATGAATATCCTTCTCCCTTTCCTTCTTTACTATGCCGTGTTTCTGCTTTGATAGAATGCTTTTGTTTTTCATATTCTTGTTCATTTGGATTTGAATTAGTGGAAAAAATTATTTTACATGTTTAAATTCTAGAAATCACTAACAATGGTTAATTTAAGTGAAATCCCAAGTGATAATCACTGTTGTAATTTCTTGATAATTGGTGGTAATGGAGATTAAAAAATAACAGTTCAGATTTCATCAATTATCTTTTACACTGTTGAGTATCCTAATGTAGGATACTGCTAATTTCTGTTACAGGAATTGGGTGAATACCTTGAACTACTTTGTTATTTGTTGTTAGTACTGTATTTTTGTTGGAGGTAGACTTTGAGAAAATGTAGCAACATTTATGCTGTATGTATTATAGCTGTCGATGGAAAAGCACCACTTGCCACTGGGGAGGAAGATGATGATGAAGTTCCAGGTAAGACTCTGCACTTGTTGAAGATTCTATGGTTTATTTACATCAAAGTAAAAGGCAGTAGACCATTTCTTTAACATTACCTAGATAAAACTAAAAGCACTGTTTGTACTTTTATCTTTTTCATTCTAGAGCCCCACGTAAGGCGTATCTTAGTGGACTATTCTATGGTTTGTTAACAAGAAGATTAAAACCATAATTCAGTGAATTGAGAGAGTGACAATTTCTTTTTAGCGGTACCAATAATACATTTGTTTTATTAAATTTCATACAAAATTCAAATAAAATATTATTTTTATCACATTAATACTGCAAGAGAAAGTCAAAATGCCCCTAGTAGCCCCTGAATCAGATTTCAAGAACTTTGGGTTTGTAGCTGATAATTCATTACTAATACACCCTTTTCACAGGTAACTTCAGTGTCCAAGAAGTTTAAAAAAAAATTTTTTTAAATAAACTTGTGTGTGTCTAGTGGTTTTTGTTCTTCATAGTAACCAATGTATTATTGCCCAATTTACAACACTTGTAGAATAGTACAGTTTCTCGAGTTGTAGTATTTCCACTGTTGCCAACAGGTTACTGGTATTTCCATGTTTTATGCCTGTGCTCAACTAGACTAAATTGAAGTGAATACCGAATTGGTTATAGTTCTACTTTGTGTCTTCTGTGAATTATTTTATCAGATACTCTTTTGAAGTTATTTTACCCTTCATAAAACTTAGGAATTCACTTGGAAAAAATTTATTTTCATAACATTATACTGTGTTTTTTTCCCCCCCCAGATCTTGTTGAGAATTTTGATGAGGCTTCCAAGAACGAGGCAAACTGAATTGAGTATCAACTTCTGAAAGTTAAAACTTGAAAGTTATATGGAGCTGCTATTTTATATTGTGTGACTGCTTTTTTCCTTTTTTCTTATCTTTTGTTTTTGTTTGTGGATCTGGAGAATTGGATCTAATATTTTGAAGGCCTTTGGACATTGCAGCTCTTTTCATTTATTGCTTATACACAGTTCATTCTTTGCAGCCTAACTATGCTGAACAAGCCTGGAATTAAAGTTTGAAAAAAAAAGGTTAATAAAATCTTTACCTAGTATGCAGTTGACTTGATTTTACTGGTACTGTAATTTGTATCTGAAAGCAACATAGGTTTGGGTTTTTTTCCCCAAGTAATGCAATATAATAACTTGCTATGTTCTTTAAGTTTAAATAATCAGATTCCAGTGTATTTTAGCAAAGTTATGAACTTTTTTAAATACCTCCAGATTTAAATTAAATTTAGTTGGTTGGAATGGTTTTATGTGAAGGAAGGAAGATAGAAAGAAAAAATGTTGGTTTGGAATTTGTGGTAAAGCTTTTTTTTCCCCAATGAGTGAAGCAATTAAAACACAATAGTTTAGGTCACATTTACCTCTTATGGTGAATTTATGTATGGAAATAAGAGCACATTCAATATGCATTTTGGGAAAAGTCATGACAGTTTGTTCTGGAAATAATAATAATTACTATTCATCCATTTGATTTTGAGCAGGTTTCATAAATTAAGATATTTGAGGTTTTTAACTCTTCTGGTGTTTTGTGTTTTATCAGCCTGGTAGCTTTTAAAATTTATGGGTAGACATATAACCTTTCAGCAAAGTGACACTAGTAATTGGTAAATTATTCATTGTTCCAAAACCACCCATTTAATCTTTTTACACAAAGTACTAAGTAGTTCTGAGCAGTTTAGATCCTTGTTGGTAAATCTTGTGTATTAATCTATGAACTTTTGTATTTACTGTTTTCTTTCATGGGGAGGGAAGGAGTGATTTGTTTTTGTTTTTATTTTTGCTTGTGTTCTAGCAATTTTAAAGTTTGGAAAATGGAGAGATTATTTTAGAATCCAGAGGACCTACCCTTTGTGTTTAGATGCTTTAAAGTACAACTTGTCTTTTACCCTATATATAAATTTTACTGCTAAGCTATAAATTACCTGATATTGTGTGACCTGCAGAAATGTGGACTTTTAAAAATTATTCCTCTACTAGAAGTTTGAAAATTATGACGGTTTGGGGGTAGGAGATTTGTTCTAATCTAAATCTGAAAGAACTGACTGCCTTAAAAATAGCTTCCCAGTAGCTTTCTGTTATAAATTGTCTGTCTGCTTCAGTCAACAAATATCTGAGCACCTACTGTAAACTGCTACCTATTCTCAACCCTCAAGCAGTAATTATCCCAACAAGTTTAGCTCCCAAATTAGTAGGTATCAAAATGTCAGATTCTGTTAAGCCCAGAATGGGTCTTGTGTCTTTTGCTTTGTGTTGTTTAGTCACATATGTGGAATGCCAGTTGAGTTGTTTAATTGCAGTCTGAATTTTTTTTTTTATTTAAATGAAGCTTCTGGCTAACCACTTGCATCTCTCCACCCCCATCTATAAGTAAATATCTAAGAGTAGAATGATATGTAGTGAATCAAAGGACTATTGAACATAATTCTTGGCCAATTCTGTCTTTGTGACAAACTGTTACAGGACAATTAGCAACAGATGACTGCCCAAATATAGGCAGTACCCTCATGCTGTCCAAGGATTCTCTACTGCTGCATTGTAGGAGCTTTTCTAAATAACCATCCTATTACTTTTAAGGCACTGTGGATAACTAATAATTTGTGGTAGCCGATGTGTTACATCTCACAGATTTAATTGCCACAACCCATTCAAAAATAACACATCTTTAGAAGGCCCTTCACATGGCAGGTTAGTTGGGCACATACAATTTAGAGTTAGCCAAGAGGAGACCTAGGTTCAAACCCTGGTGGTTATTTCATATTCAGAACATTACATCTTATTTGGATTTTAATTCCTAAATTTTAAAATTAGGGAGTTGGATTATGAATCTCTTAAGGCTCCTTCTATCTTGGGAGAGTCCTATGAATCTGTGACATTTAGTATGCCTCTCAAGTTAGTAAATGTCTTTGGGCCCAACTGTAGTGATCCGGTAGTTTAAAACAGACTCGTGTATTAGTGTTTTCATTTGTTCAGAATATCTTTTAAGCATGTAAATTTTTTGTTTGAAAGTCTAGATTCAGAAACATAGAAGTTTCAGTTTTCTAGAAATCATAGATGGGTGGGATTAGTCTTCTATGCACATGTGTTTTCATCGCTCCAGTTGGCACAGTCTTGTATATCATCTTTGCAGCGTACTTAGGGAATGCAGTCACAATCAGCAAAGAAAACTGTATTGCACCTCCAGCCTGAACAGGTTGGGCACTGCAAACCTGTAGGTAATTGGTTTATTTTTAAAACGTCCAATGTTCAAGCAGGACTCTACTACCAGAATCCAGGCTTAAAGACAGCTGGAAAAGAAATACCTCAGACATTTAGTGTGTATTAGTAAAAACTAAGATAACTGAAACTGGCAAGTGTTAAAACACTTTTAGGTAAAGTAATTTGTGTTGTAAGCAAAAAGCTAAGTTGAGGAATATAATTCAACCTAAAAATATTGTCCTGCTTTATTATACAAACAAGGGAAAACACTAGTTCAAATAGACACTGGAAAGAGGAGCAAACAAATGGTCCTATGTTTTTAAAAGCTTTTAACCATGTTAGTAGCTATATTTCACATATGTCAACTCCCAAGGAAGTTATTCTATAGCTGCACACTTACCAGAATAGAAAATTTATTTTTAGGGAACTTGAAATGTTTTGCCAACACCTATTATATTCTGATGGTGGCAAGACCAATATGGAACTGCATTATTTTGACCTTTTATGGCTAAGTGTTTTTTTTTAACCTTTCCAGAGGAGATTAAAGTTTCCACTCAACTGTCAGGAGGCATTTAATCTTTGTAGGGAAGTTTTGGGGAATAGAGGAAGGAGTGAGGAAGGTAAAAGCAAAGTTATGTGAAGATAGGGGCAGAAACCTTCAGAATTCTTCCTAACCTTAAATGATCCTATGAAATGAAACACTACCTTAAATTTGAGTTTAAAAGAGGGGAGGGGCTTACTCAGGTTTTTGGCTTACATCCAGCCCTTGTTGTAATCTCTTTTATTAACTAAAACTAGCTGAACCTGCTTCTTGGCTAGATCAGTTTGCTTGTTAGTCTGTTTACTGGCATTGAGTTTTATACAAGAAATGGGTGGAGCTCTGTTAGCCCATTGATGCAGATTCCTCATCTTCATTAATTTTTACCTGATTCATCTGAACAATCTCCACAGTCATTCCTCATGTCGCAGACTTTGTGTAAGTCCATGACTTCTGGTTAGGACACTTGAACAGCAAGTTTTGAGGTAGACTTCTGGGCATTTGACCTGTTTCAGACAAAGGTATTAATTCTAGGGGATGAAAATTATATAGTTAGTAGTCTTAGTGATTAATAGCAAATATATTTCAGTGTAGGGTTTTGTATCATCTCACCACAATATGCTGTGGATTCATCTCCATGACTGCAGTCTAGCTTTCTATTACAAAGCAGGGATGGTGGTAAGCAGGTGGTGAGATCATCACACAAAAAGCCAAGCTGCTTTGAAGCTGTTTGACATTGTCGGCATGATAGCCCTAGAGAGGTTGTAAAAAAGCATTATTGGTGACATCTGTGACTATCCATCTATCCTATCCATCTAAATCTGGGAACCCAGACTAATGCTGCCTTTGTACAGTGTCTGACACATCTCGTAACCTGAGTGAACACTTGTACACACACATCTGCTTAGCCAGACCTCATAAGATCATAGATCTGGAGTTTGAAGGGCATATCCTTTCCAAACCTTTCACTTGACAGAGCTTGGATCCAAGGAGGTTAAATAATTTGCTGAATGTCAGATAATGAGAGGCAAAGGCAAACTTGATCTAGGTCCTCTGACTCCACAGCCACTTTCTGAGTTCCCATCATACGTTAAATTTCTCTCTGCTCTCAAGGCCTCCTGGGACATAGGTGCGTTTTTTTTGTTTGTTTTTAGCTTACATATTTCCAGTAGTACTTGGAGCTCAGTAAATGGCTGGCTTTTGCTTGTTCTACCTAAGAGTCTGAGCTGGGAGCCTAGAGACATGGGTGTTATAGTTTGGGTTCTGCTGTCAACTAGCTGCACAACATAGGCCATGGCATCCATGTAACTCTAATATGTCTTTCTTTACCCATAAAAGGAGTAAAAATACCAAACTTGGAGGGATATGAGGATGAAGTATTTTGTAGTATTCACAGGCTCTGCCTACCTGCTTGAGGGACAGTTATGGTGATAATCATATTGGTAATATTCAGAAGACCTAGTTCGAGATTTGCAGAGATTGTTAAAGATTTGTTCTCTATCTTTGAGTGGCTTGATTCCAGACTCATCTTACATTTAAGAGACAAAGAGCATCACAGCTTAGATCTCTTATTCCCATTATAGAGACAGGGCATATTTATCTAGGAATGTGAAATTCTCCCATATTATTAGTGTTGTATTGGTATGTATTTACCACAATGGCTGGGCACTTGTTCATTGATCAATTGATTATTAGAAATAGAAGTACTTAATCTAAAATAATAAGCTCTGAATCAGTCTTCTATAATATTAAAATCTGTTCTACTGTTTGAGGCAGGCTACATAGCATTAGTTCTATTTGTATAAAGCAACCCACATTCACTAAGGACTGAACTTCAGTGATCCTATTGTACACTCATCCACTCCTACATAGGACAATAACAGACCTTTTGAATTCTCCTTGAAATGACTATAAGGAAAAACATTGCCCAAGCCAAGGGAGTGCTTGAGAAGCAGGCCTAAAAATATTCTGCAAAGTCTTTGCAGGAAATGGTTCTAAAAATATCAGTGATTTTATCTGCAATCATGGGTTTGCTGACTGAATAAGATACTGATTTTACTTATTTTCTAATCAGATATTACAGCTTGGTAAGTTACAGTCCATAAATGCTGGACTGGAAATAAATGATTAAATTGCACCTTTTTTCTGTAACCTTTTGGTTTATTATGTTAATAAATTGGGTTCGGACAGTCTGCCAGTATTTAGTTATGAGCATACAGGAATAAGTTCGCTTGGGGATTGAGTAACATTAAATGTAAACGTGGAGACAGCTGATGGCACAATGGACAAAATGCTAGGCTTGGAGTTGGGAAGACCTGAGTT